TTGCCTAGTGTACATAAACTCATCCCATAAATCTTGAGATCTGTAGGGAAAAGTGGTCCATCCCAAGTCGAACTCTCACCCAAGACCTGCAGAGAGGCTGTTCTGCAGACTTTCTGTATCAGGGGAATGGTGGAGGAAAATTCTAGGTATATTATGTCAATCAGTGATTCTCAACCAGGGTGCCTTGCCATCCTTTGAAGGGCACCACAGGAAATGTGAGGAGATAAGGGAGAAGATCCGCAGATAAGAGCAGGCTCAGGCTCCGGGTGTGAAGAGATGAGCAGAGAAGGGCAGGCTCAAGCTCTCCCATTTAGCCTCTCCTCTGCCTCCACTGCCTGGCCCCTCTGCAAGGAGGTAAGTACTATACTAAACAAATGAGTTTTTGAAATGGGGTACTACTCAGTTCACAAACGGTATGGTAGGAGCCTTGAGTCTAATGAGGGATGCTTTGAGTCGAAAAAGGTTGAGAACTGCTGGTGTAGATACTGATGACACTCATGCATCTAGCTCAGAGTTTCCCTAGTAATCTCTGTACAGGGCAAGGGATTTATATAAGAACCCTCTGGTGCACGTACAAGCCTACATTACAACTGTGTTTTTTCTGTTGCTATGAATTTTGTGCGTTAGGATTCCATTGGCCCCCAAATGAACTTGACCCTCAAACTGTAAATCAGCATTTTAGCAAGGTTACAAAATATATGCCAATCAAACATTTTGATCCTTCCTTTTAGGAATATATGGACTCAAATAAATACATAGAGCATTTAGTGACTCAGCTAGAAGAGCAACGTTGGAACCTATGGAGGCAAGTACAATTTATATTATTTTTAAATGAATGTAACAATCCATAGTTTTGACTCCACATGTAAGGTAAAATAGACAGGTATCCAATCTGAACCTCTTCTGAGATGTGGCCTATGGAGTATTGAACTTTAACCCAATGAAATATCTCAGCCATGTACAACACAGACAGTTGTCTCTCTAAATTACAGCTTTGACTAGAGAGATCCTTTGATATATCATAATTCTCAGTGTATGAAAGCTCTGTTTTTTAAACATGCTGTGCTAACTCTGTTTTGAAATATAGGCAGCTTTATTGGAGTAGATTTATCAGAGCTTTTAGTATCTTTAATTATCTGTGTCTCCTTCAGTGTTATGTAAAAGGACACACATAACTGCCCCCCAAATGGTAATAATTTGGGCAGCATAGCAAATTCAGAGTTTTAAAGCCTAACCTAGCTGCTTTTAGCAATCCTGCTTCAGTGAAATGAAAGGAGTACTGATTGTCCAGTAAGTACTTTTCACATCATCCTCTCTTACTACCCAAGGTCTATACCTAATTTGTATATACAAATCTCATGGGCACTCCTGGCTCACTTAGAGCAACCTCTATAGAGTGCTGCTTCCGGAAAAATAGTATAGTACCAGAAACATTTATATCATCAGGTCACTAGCTGTTACTTTTGTGAATGACATTTGAGTAGATTTAGAGAAATGTAATTTGGCCTACATAATGAGGATGGGCATTACTAGTCTGGCATCACTAGTAACACATCAGCAAACGATCCAAGTAAAACATCCAATCAAATCACTGATGCACACAGAGAAAACATTTTTAGGATCAAATGCTATGTCTGTAGATGTGCTGGGAGGTTGCTCCAGCGCACTATAATTGCAGTGTGCCAGGGCAGACTTGATTAATCGATTAATGGAGTCTGATGGAGCATGCTAATTAGTGTGCTCCAGCCAGCCTCTGTACCTCATATATCCGTGTCTCCGTGTTTCCAAATGGTAGCGGGGGCGATTTAACTAAAGCTCGTTCAGTGGGTGGCTTTGCACATTGTTTGATATGTGTCTGATGAACGCTCCTGTCCTTTAAAAATTGAATGATTATAGTAAAAGAAAGGAGGTTTATATGCAATATTACAGCATTCAGTAAACAGCGTTTGAATCAGAATGAAGGATAATAGAAGCACTATAGTGAACAGGGAAAAAATAGAAATGAACAATAAAGAAAATTAAAATCTCCTTGAGAGCCAGCAGAGAGTAAGATTTTATTGAATTATGAATTGACACAGCAATGTTTTAAAGTGAGTGTTTTTTCAAAATTAAAGTCAGCATTTCCTCTGTTATTTTTTACAGAACGATAAAGGTAAGGGTGTCCCATTTGCAGGTCATTGAGGCACTTAGGTAAAAACATCAGTCTGGCAATGAGTCATATGAAAAAAAAGCCCTTTGGGTTTGGATAGACTATTTTAAATTACTAGATTTTAAAAAAGGGAATCTCTGATACGTGGAGGATTATGGGACTAGCTCATGATATTCAAGGGAAGTACTAGATTTTGTGTAGTCAAACAGATGTTCTAATAAATCAGCATAGACCACTTCTCAGACTTCATTATGTCCTTGATTTGTGACTGCCACGTTTTTAACCTATTGGGTCATTGGGCATTGAACCTGACATTGAACGATAGCCCCCAGTTTACTCTAGGCTAGCTAATAAAAAAGACAGACACAAATTCTGAACATTTAGCTCTTTCAACATTACTTACAGCCTGGACTGATTTATAGCAACCAGTCTGAGACTGAGGAGACTAAAACTGATGTCATGGTGCTGATATAGAACGTCTACATTACCACATGTACAACAGCAAAATAAAAGGCACTTAATTTGATGCAGGAGCAGAAATTTCTTTTTTCTTCTCATTTTACAGCACTTGATAGATTTTACTTTCTTCATGTGGCATAACCATCTGTTGTGGAACATAGAAATTTATTGCTCTAATCACACTCCCAGGAGGACTGGTTATGTTTAGCTCATGTTTCATAGCTTTCTGATAAAACAGACCTCTAGACCAGGTCCAGATTATCAATGTCGAAAGAATTTCAAAAACATAACGAGAGTAACCTTGGTAGTATGCAGAAGCGCAGCTGTTTTTGACCGATGCGTTTTTTTTTTTAAACGGAGGACCATTTAAGGATTATTGTTAAATGAAAAATTAAGACAGTGATTAAGATAGAAGCTCATAAGTAGAGAGGTTGGATCATGAAATAAGAGATATAAAAGCATATATTTGGGGAGAAGGATGTTTCTTTTTTTTTTCCTTGGCTGTATCCTCACATGTTCCTCCAGTTTATTTGAAAATATTAACATATATATAGAGGGACAGATTCAAGTCCAGCCAAAGTCTGTTGAAGCCACTGGAGTTAAATTCATTTTTGATGCATCTCAGCCTATGATCATGCACTGGAACATTTGAGATTATTTTAGATTTTTTTCTGCCTAATCACACATTTAAAAATAGCATAAAATATTTGGCCAGAAAGGATTTTTTTCCTTACACTGGTACTTTCTCATGTACTCATTCAGTGCTGTGGCTAATTTGACAAAATTGTAGTTTCTATGTATAATTCCCATGTGAAGAAACCATAAGATAAGTAAACTATTTGCTCCTGCTGCCTTTGCAGAATGACCACAATTGGGTCAATTGTCTAAGTAAAGATTACAACAGTCGATCTTCATGTTCAATTCTTGTTTGTGTGTTTATTTGTTATGTATTTCTTTATTAGATTGACATTTGGCCTTAGAACTGTAATTCGCTATTTCTTTTAGCATAAAGAAGAATTAATATTTAAGCATGGCATGCTTGTTATAAAGGGTCTGATCTCACTCCTGTTAACCTCTATTTTATTATTGACTTCAGTGGAGCTTGGATCAAACCTAAGTCTTTCCATTTGTGAAAAATGTTTAAAAAATGTTTTGCATTTCAGAGGAAGTATAATCAGAAAATAAACTGAGGATCCATAGCACTTAGATCTTACAGTGAAGGAAAACCCAGAGAGAGAGAGAGAGAGAACAAGCATACAACAACACAAGCACATGCATAAAGACCTAACAGCATTTTTTCCAAAGACAGATTTAAAAAACAGACTTTCTCAAATAATTTTGCTCTGCTTTCATCTAAAGCATTAACATGTCTCTATAGTCATGGGTTTAATGCTTGTAAATGAAGGCAGTGCCAAGCATTAAACAGGTTGCTTTTGTCGTAATCATAAACTTCCACTGGGAGATTTTAATTGGTCTGCAAGGAAAATGGCTCCACAAGAATTCTTAATGGTGAACCCAGATTAAAATAATAACTGTGATTAATTTTAAAATGCTTGACTAGAAAGCACTAAACACTGGGGAATAAGATGCATGACAAATGGAAACCCTAATGTCCTTTATGGTGTTACAGAAGTGAAGGCTTTGAAAAAAATATCTAATGCTACCAATGAAATAAAGTTGTACTCTGTAATGCTGCCAATGAAAATGAAATGCTACCAATGAAATAAAGTTGTATTCTGTAATGCTTTTTCATTTCCTGATGGCTTTTTCACTATCTTGGCTGAAGAACCCACAGGCAGGATCATAGGAAAGTAGGGCTGGAAGGGACCTCATAAGGTCATCTAGTCCAGTCCTCTGTTCAAGGCAGGACCGTCTTGGGGAGCTCAGCCATTTAATCCCTATTTTGACCATTCCTGATTAGCCTACACCAGTGAGCCTGAATGGGATTTACTTTAGAATCCAGGAGTATTGCCTTTGGTCATCTGACAGAGATCCCTATGAAGAGATCTGGGGCTTTCCTTCTCTCTCTCTCTCTGTCTTTTGTGCCTCAGCCTTGTATCTTCTGACACTTCCAATTTTTGTTATTTGATAAAGCAAGGGGAAAAACACAAGTTTTGGAGTGTCACTTAAATCTTGATCGCTCATGTTTGTCAACTTAGTTGCCATGTTTCTTTGATCCTAAAACAGTACATTTATAAAACAAAAGAGGCACAAGCACTAACGTGCGTCTTAAAATGCTGAAGTACAGTTGTGAGTGAGGCAAGACCTTGGCTTGTGATACCCATCTCTGTTCTTCACGTAGCTGCTAATTACAAGCCTTAGAATATGTCTTCTGTTTATACTTTCTGTGAATTTGGTTCTTACAACAGCAATGAACAAGGAGAATCGGCACGATTGAAACATTAGAACAAGGATAGTAGTTTTCCAATGCAGCTGACAACGCCACTTCAGTTCTTAGATACATCATATGCTTTACTGGCAGTAGTGAATACATTTCCTCTAAGACCCAACATTTAGGCTCCAGAGGGAAAGGCTATTAAGAACACGTCTGATATTTGAACAAATGTACATGTCTTTAGATCAATGTAAATTTGGATGGTTCAATGAACAGGGCATATGTTGTAACTTGGTTACAAAAAGCACTACCATTGCTTTATCTGTGAATTTAAAAGCCTCGCTTCCTTTGCGTCTCTGGTACAATGCCTTGTGTCACACCATACTTTTTTAAAGAGCCTTTTTCATGATTTCAAGCTGGTTAGGTTGACATTGTGGATCCTAGTGTATAGAAAAAGTAGATATTTTGTCATCTGCTAAATTGTATGTATTGTAGAACACTAAGAACAATCTATGTCCCTACAGAAAGATATGCTAAAAGGAGAATGCCTATAAAAATGGTCACGTAACAAGATAATTTAAAAATAAATATAGTGATTGCATTAGCTGTATAGTGGACCAAAGATAACAAAGACACCAAACTGCAGAATTTTATTGCAGTATATGTGTGTTAACCCTCTAACGTAAAGAATAGCACAGTGATGGTGAAGACACTAGATTACTTATCACCTAAAAATGGTCATAAAAAATAGCTCTGTACTTGTTTACAGTGAATATTAGTTGTATCAAAGTGCCGTTGAAATAACTTTAAACAGTACAGTGACACCTTTTTTAAGTTGGCACCAGTCCCAAAATCTAATCCA